CGTAATCAAAGTTGCGGCTGTAAAGCTGAAAGGCTCGAAAAGTGTCTCTCAGGCGCTTCATGGAAGTCAACAAATTGTGGTTCTCCAGCCAAGTAAGAGCTAGCAGCCCACGCATCCAAATTACTCGTCTTTGTATCGGCCAAGGTAAAAGACCAAAAGACAAAAGTTTTCCGAAGAAAGACACAAAAGTATCACAGAAGGAAAGAAGTTCGCTTCGGGTGCGTGGTCGCGCTGTCCTACTCACTAGTCAGGATCTGTGCAGGTTGATGGCGGCGAGCAACTGGATAATGCCTTCATGGGGGGTCTTGGCTGCCTTCTCCACGGGTAGACCCCACTCAACAAGGAGGCGGTTCAACTCAGGCTGTTTCTCCAGGGGCAACTGCTGATAATGCTCATCAATCATTTCAGCAAGTGCGTCAACCTCGTCAACCTTGTCTGCGCCGACATGCTTTGCGATCCATGCTTTGATGCTGGCCATCGTGGTGGACCGAGGGGAGTCATGTTGGAGAATGGGCCGGTCTCCTTTGACCCGAAAATCATCAAGAGGGTTCCTCTGGGGGGGCTCTGGCATGTCGGCTTTGGCTTCCGGAAGTCTCACCCTGTTAGGGTGGGCCTCATCGCTTGGCGAGACCTGGCTGGCCCGCAAAGCTGCATTTTCTTGGCGAAGCTGCTCGATCTGTTTGAGCAGATGCTCACCAGCGGCCTGAGGCATCAAGGTCTTGCAGTGGTCCAAAAGTTTCCTAGTCAAAGCCTTAGTTGCATCAAGTCGGGTCTGCCAATCTGTCAGGTCGGCGCCCTCGGGCGCATGCACCTTGAGTAAAGAAGACAGGTCAACATGTGGGTCATCATACATTGCCTTAGTCAAGGTGCTTGCGAAGACTGCATCACCACGAGACCTGAAAATCTCAGCTGCAGAGTGGCGACCGTTGGCAAGGAGCCTGAGACACCAGTTCTGGGAAGTCTGAGAAAGAACCTCCCACAGATATACTTCGGAAATGTCTCGCCCCGCAATTCCAATTCTTCGAGTGAACTGGGAAGACTCAACCTTGCGCGGGAGTGACAAACCGTACATCATCTTGGTATCATAGTGGGTCTCTGAGGATGACCAGTCAGCAGATCTCGAGAACTCTGTGTGGCGGGCTGGTGTCTTAACTGAAGTCGGAGGGGCGAAAGGTGACCTTGGACGTCGATCCCGTCGATGCTCCGAACGTGGCGGAGATCTGGAACTCCGCCTGGACCTGAGCCCTGTGCCTCGTCGAGAGCGGGACCTGTATCGCTGGGACCATGATTGCTCCCTGCGCCTGCTCATGGACATCGCTTCTTACTAAGTTTGTTGGGGCGTTTCGATCTTTCTCGAACTTCAAAACTGCGAAAAACCGAATCTAAATCAAGACTGGCGTGCGTGTAAGGGCGGCATGCAAGCAAGTTGGCTACAAAATGGGCATCTTTCGAAAGCTGAAATGAACCACGACTGGAATTACGGGCCGGTGTTTCAGCTATCCTTCATGCGAGGGACGAGGTCAAACGCTGTTACATCCGGAGGTCAATCGTCAACAACCAGGAACAAAACGCACGGTCACACGGTCTTTCTTTTTGTGCAACATTCCGAAAGGTGGTCACATGATTACTGCAGCGTTCATGCTGCAAGTTATTTTGCATGGCATGGAGGTGAAATTGCAAAGTCCATAGAAAATGCATATGTCAACGCACCATAAAGATGCCAGCCATGCAGAGTTCAGCGATAGAAGCTCGAATCTTGAATCTTCCGTCTCCGCGGTTTCTGACCATGTCCACAAAATGATTGCAGGCACTGTCAGCGAAGACACCCCCGTGTGGGATGACAAGGTGCGCCGTCTGTCGCACATGGGCAATTCCAGACACGAAGAAAGGCCTCTCCGAACCGTACCCGCCAAACTTGCTGGCTGTTGCGAGGCATGCATGGGCCTCGGCATTGATGTTCGGACTCAAAGGTAGTTGGTAAACGTAGGTGCCTGGAACCGTCGCCCTGGCATAAAAGCCAAGGGAAGGAAAATAGGACGTGCCTGGGATCCCGTCCGACTCATACCATGCTGAAGGTCTAATCATGTCTTCTGAAAACATCGCTGGAATGCAGTGTTCCTTAGTGTTGTGCGCCCAGTGGGCGCGTAAAACAGCTGGCACATACGAAAAATCTCTATGGCGCAATCTGATACGGGCAGCGACAATCATGGAGGCGGGGCCCTGGGAGCTGGTGATGTCATGTATTTCCCAGCCGTCAAGTCGTTCGGAAGCATCGACAATGAGGGCAAGCTGACCCAGCAAATGTTGGACCGGGGTCCGATGAAGGAGCTCCCGCCCATCTTTGGGAAACGTACGAATAAAATACTTGAAAGTCAATTCTTGAATTGAAAGCAAAGGATAATCAAACATATGCACCTCTTCAGCGGATTCTGGGCGACAGCCATCACAAATGATGGCTTCGCGGTGTTTCAGCATGGCCTGCCACAGCTCACCCCAAGGAAAGCCGGAAAGATCTTGTCGTGATTGGGTGAGGGCCTGCCAAATATCACGGCCAAGTACAGTGCGCAGCCTGTACACAGAGGGCAGGCCCCAATACTTTTCTTGTCCAGTCTCCAGCATGATTTCCCACAAATCGGAACCGAAAGGAAACCATTGGCTAAACGCGACACGAATATTTCTTGTTTCAAGCCTGATGGAATCAGAGGTGACATCCGAATGTTCATGACTGCTGTCGGAAGAGCCCCTCGTGCTTGAAACTGGCAAAGCAAGGGAAGTCACATGGTCCTGAGATTGCGCCTGCTGGTGCGGCAATCGCCACCGCCCTGGGGGTCGAGAAAGTGGGAGGGGAGGTCGTAACGGGGGGGGGGCCGGAGAGTTCAAACCTTGGTGGGCAAGCTGTCCACTGCAGTTGTGTCCACCTAGTGGCGGCGCTGCTGAAATTGGCTGTTGGCTCATCATAGGGTTAGGTCCGCAAAACTGGATTGGCGGGTCAGGTGTGCCTGAAAACAGCTGCTGCGCAGTACTGAAAAACTCCTCCTGAACTAGGTTCTGCACAAGGTTGCGGAGTTGCATGATACTGAGGGACCCCACAGATGGTGGCCGAGTCAACTGTGTCAGCCCGACACTACGAAAGGTCGGATTCTGCGGAAGAGTGTCAGACGACAAAATCTGATTTCCACAATCGCAGGCTCCGGGCGCTGGATTGACTAAAATTGGTCTGGGGCGCCACGTCTGCATTCCATGAGGTTGCGGAAAGGATATTGGATGTCCCCTGACTCTGGAATCCATTCGTCCAGCCTAGCTGTGAAACAAAACCTGAACTTGAACCTTTCATGTATGAGCAACCGATTCAAGAGGCCTGCATCTGTGACAACCTCAATGGCTCTAGCTGCGATGTTCCATGCAATGTGGAAACCGCCAACAAGGCACTGGGGCCACGGCGTTTGAATGTTGAGGGATTCCATGTTGCGCGATCGCGCCTCTTGGAGATTCAGCCATCGCGGCGTGTGTGCGCCTCTCTTAAGGCTATATTTGCGTACCCAGCAGGGCAAATGCTGACCGAAGTCTTCGCGTAGATTGCGGCACAAGCCGATTCAGGCAGGTTAGCCGGTTCTGGCTCAGAAGCCGATTCTGGACGCTATAAAGCTTCGCGGCGGTGCCGGCTGAAACCGGACCTATGCAGGATTCTGGCCCAGGAGCCAATTAGGCGCACAATCAGTGGCCGTACGGTGCGGGCCGGAATCGCCACGTCACCGGTGCTGGGGTTCTACCCCAGCTGTCACACTGCAGAAGGGGTGGCGTGAGAAGAGGACGTCAAGGAAGTGGTAGAAAGGAAGTAGTGCCTAAGTGGTCGTAATCGCGCCTAAGTGGTCGTGGTCGTGGTCGCCCCTAAGTGGTCGTGGTCACACCTAAGGGGTCGTAGTCGCGCCTAGAAGGTCGTGATCGCGCCTAGAAGGCCGTGATCGGGTGAGCTAGTGGTTAAATTGATTGAAATCAAACGGCGGTAGATAAACACAACCAGACGGCGACTTTTTGGGGCCCAGCAACAGAAAACAAACAAAGGGTCCACGAGCAGGTACGTTTTCACGGGACCGGGAGGGGGTCTTCGTTGGCCACCGCCCCTCCCGGTCCCCGGTGGCCCCCTGCTGCAATAGTGCATGAATTCAGTCACATGCGTGTTACAGCATGTTACACACACACACACACACACACACACACACACACACACGCACACGCACGCACGCACGCACGCACGCACGCACGCACGCACGCACGCACGCACGCACGCACGCACGCACGCACGCACGCACGCACGCACGCACGCACGCACGCACGCACGCACGCACGCACGCACGCACGCACGCACGCACGCACGCACGCACGCACGCACGCACGCACGCACGCACGCACGCACGCACTGTGACTGCCGCGTTTCTTTGTTGTGTATAAACTGTCTCTTGATGACTGCGTCTCCATGTTGGACCGGAACAACGGCTACGAGAGACTTTTTAGGAGTCCAAAGTCGGACGTGAAATCTAAATGTTGGCTTGTATATCTCGTTTGCATTACTTCGTTTCTCAACGTGGTTGCTCCGTGCATTCTATCGCAAAACATGTCTGTTCTACGGTTTCTATAATTTGTCATGTCGTCCTTGCAAGTGATTGAAAATTGAAGAGCCCAGCACTGTTTGTTGTTCGTGCCACCTGCGCGAATCGCAGGGGCAAACCTATAAAATAATTGACAGAATGAAGGCTCTGTCCTATCAAAAAAAGCAAGAATAACACGTGTATGCCGCAGAAAAGCTGGTTGTCATGCCTAAACATAGACGTTGTACACAGCCTATAGCAAGATAGTAATAAGGGTACCCAACTTTTTTCTGTAGTCTATTTTAGTAGGGGAACCCTCCCAACCAAAAAAGGGGTGAGAAAGGGCGCTACTGGGGGACCTAGTGGCACTTCATGGGGTTTTCCGGGACCCTGGTCAAGGGACCCCCGCCAAGCCTGCGTCTGCGAGATGGTGTCCTGCCGGAAGCCATGTTCCATTTCTGGGACTCTTGGAGGTGTTGGGCAGAAGGTGTCTCTAGCCCAATGCTCAGTACTCCCAGAAAATACACCGAACAATTCAACAAGTGCAAGATGCGGGTGTGATTCTTTTAGACAATTCGCAAAATGGCTTCGGCTTTGCTTTTGGTTTCACTTCAAAACCACAAACAAGGGGTAGACTCAAACAAAAAAAGCTTTGCCACAGAGCCCACCGTTGCCACAAGCGACTGTGCCAGGCATCCTCGCATAGACTGTCCAAGACTGAGTCTTCCCTCGAATGTGACTATAGGCCCCACAAAGTAGCAGTAACCATCACACGTTGCTCGAAGGTTGAAAATGCAAGCACTAAAAAGACAAAAAGCTTAGCCTCACTCCCACTAATGTTGACCCCGCATTCATAAACCCCTGTTTATTAATGTGGGGGTGTCCCTGGCTTTAGTGGGGATTCATCACTTCTGGAGGGGAACGCCCCCATATTAATCAACAGGGGTTGATTAATCCGGGGTCAACATTAACATGGCGCGCAGGAAATGTATCAATGAATTTTCGAGGCACCCTTCAATGCTCTGGTGGGAGGGTATCTGTAAGCTCCACTCCATTGAACTATGCCACTGAAAGTATGGCACCGATTGCCAGGGGGCGACGTGGATCCTGCACCCAAACACACACACACACAGTTCTCCAGGGGCCTAGTGTGGCTCGATCTTCGTTCTCTCTTGGGTTTTCAGTGCTGGCATGTGGGCCGCTTGGAGTACATGCATTCAACTGAGATGGCGCCTCCACATTGACGCCCATCGCCCGGTACACGATGCCCAGGCGCTTGTCCACATCTGTCTCAAACATCTTCTCCATCCTGAGCCCGAGTAAGTTTTGTACATCCCCCCTACCAGAAGGTCCCCAAAAACGGGAAATTCAACCATAAATGGAACTTCAGGGCCACCCCCCTCCCCCAATTCCATTTTTAAGGGGCAGGAGATTCTATATGCGCGCGCAAATGCACATCTTGTGCCGCTTTCCATTGCCAGAACTACGCAGATCTGGGGCAGACTTTCTGCAAAAAGCCCAGACTGCACGTGTTGCAGGATAAAACAAACGGGCAACACATGCTTTTGGCAAAGATGTCAAAAATTGGACACACGAAGCCAGGTGTCTTGTTCTGCTCTTGGGGAAACCGTGCCTGGCCCAACTAAGCTGCGCATGGGACCCACGGACGAAACCTAATTTGCCCGAAAGAAACAGACGAAAACAACGAGAAAAAAACAAACGAGACACACACGAGCACATACACAACAAATATCTCAGGCGTGATTCCGTGCTCCTTCCTTGCAAGTGGTCAAGGTAAAGCACCAATTCAGCCACAAGCATCTGGGCTAATTACTGACTATAACTCAATGCCGGAAATCAGGTAGGGATCATCATGGAAAGCGTCTTGCCCCCAGCTTGTTACGATTTGAGTGGCGCCCATCAATTGTTGGGTCTAGCAACATAAGCATGTAGGTTCACGTTACAGGCTTTACTAGAACCCGTGGGGAGCCCGCACCATCCATTAAACCATCCAATTAAACCAGGTAGACCGCCTGCCCACGTGAAGAGCCGTTCCCCTAAGAGGTGCTCACCTTTTGGAACCCTGAGACCAAACCAAAACGGTTTGGAAGACACAAGGGCAAAGGTCGATTGCAGAGGTCACTGGGTTTCCCCGAATCAAAGGCTGATCAAATTGCCACTTGAGGTTTCCATTGACGGGAACTGGCTCAGAACCCCTGGATGAACTTCTCACTTCCTATATCGATTGGCCAAACAAAGTCACCAAACTTTTACCACATCCCACTAAAAGTGGCTGCCAAACTCCCAAAACGTGAGGATCCAGCCCGGGCCCCGGAACTCGGGAAGCCATGGCCCCAAGTGAGGCCATGGCAGGGGGGTCTTTTTGCCACCTTTTGTGAGAAAGATTTTCCGACCCCCTCAGAAATCGGGATCCTTCACTATGGAGGGCTCGCTTTTTTCTTCTTCTTTTTTTCGTTTGCCACGAAAGCCGGCAAGAAAAAAGAAAAGAAGAAGACCGCATTCCTTTTGCCCCTTTTGGGGGCGGCGCCAAAGGCTTTGGCCTTGGCCGCCGCTTTGCCGCTTTGGGGGGGGGGGGGCCGGCGGGGGCTTGCTCCGAAGGCTCGTGGCGGCCAGCACCGCGAGCTCATGCAGTGTGAGCCCATAGGATCCCAGGCGGTCCTCGCAGCGACCGCCAGAAGCTTTTTTCTTCTCCGCGACGGCGCCCGGAAAAAAAATATTCTCCGCCGCGAGAAACCGAAGGGACACGCGGCTCTTTGTTCATGGCCAAAAAGGTGACGTTCAAAAAGGACCGAATCTTGATAGATTTGATGATATGGATGATAGTGGTAATAATGATGATGATGATTCTGTATATTGATATAACTGTCATGCACATATTTTCGACAACATCTATATAAACTCAAAATTAAAGGGACACGCGGCCTTTTTCATGGCCGAAAAGGTGACGTTCAAAAAGGGATACTCACATTTCTTCCGAAAAAAGAAGGCCTCAGGATGGATGGGGAGCATGACATGAGCATAGAGGAGCCACAGGGCTCCGAGATATGTCCCAAAACATCACGCACCAAGGGGCACGCGCCTTTCATGGGCCAAGGTCATGTGTAATTCCGCCCGTTAAAGGGACATATTTTGGGACTTTTGGGTTTTGGGGCGGGTCAGAGGTCCGTTGAATCTAGAAATGAGGGTCTGTTGGGGCTTGGGGGATTTGATTTGTGCCATGCACGTTAGGAAACCACAAGTTTTTCTCCATTTGCTGAATTAAGTCCCTAGAAAACATGATATGTTTTCCACTAGTGCTAGATGTTCTTCAAAAACCAACAAGGGGAAATAAACCCATACTCTCAAGCAAATGGAACTAAAACATTGCCACGGTTTACAGTGATCCCTGCACAATTCTTTGAACAAACAACTTGTGGCGCCCGGGGAAACGGTAGAAACCTAAAGAAGCTGTGCTTGACGGCTCAAAAGGGGACTGGGGGGTTCGGCCCCAGAAGCGCTGTGCAAACACACCTGGCCCCAGCAGCCGGCCCTTCAGGCCACGACTGGAAACCAAACTTCGGGTTTTCGGGTACTAGGTCTTCCACTAGAGAGCTTAGAATAAGGGTACCGTTTCTTTTTTCTGCAGTTTTTTTTAGAAACCTAAAGAAGAAGCTGTGCTTGACGGCTCAAGGGGACTCGTTTTTAGCAGGGAACCCTCCCCCAAGAAAGGGAAACAGGGCGCTACTGGGGGGACCTAGGTTCGCTTGCACCAAGCCAAAAGTGACACGCAGAATGTATCCAGACTCTACCCCGGTGCTTGTGTTGGGCATTTATCTTTACATGGCCCGATTGAGAGCTGAGAAAGCCGGAAAGAAGAAAGTACGCCACATCTGCAAGTACAGCGATCTAAGTGAATTAAATCATATTTCACCAGCCTGAAACTTGCGGTGGTTTGGGGGCTATTCCCCACATAAACCACCATTTGGGGTGAGGTCGCGTGAGGTCGCTATAATTCACCCAGAGCGATCAATGAATCCGACGCTGTGGGGCAAAGGGAGGACTGCATTCACCCCCCCCACCAATTGGCGGGAGCGTAATCCCCATATGTAAATACTTTCCCGATTTTCCCAGCTCCGCGGAAAGGGGGAGTCATCTCCCTTCATCTAGCGTGGCGCGAGACATATCCAGCGCTACCTTTCAAGATCCCGGCTCCTCGAAGAGTTCGCGCCTAAGCTTCGCAGCTCAGATTAACATTCGAGGGTGCCATGTCAAGTTGCAGGGGAGGACACAAATCTCATAGTTGCACGGATGAACAGTTATGCAAGCATCTGTAAGATTCTCACTTTTAACCTTCACCCACAGTAGATGATGGAGATTTACATGAGCCGCCACCAAGCTGCATTTGTGTTTCGGGTTGTTCGGAACTTTGCCACAATGGTCCATTAAAGTGATACCGTCAAAACAGCACCTGAGCTAAACGGTGCAAAGGGACACCCAACCAAAAATGCAACTTTTTTCTTGATGGACTCAGATATGTAAGCCAGTGATTCCGTTCACTCGCCGCAAGCTTCGTGCTTGGCAAAGCGCAACCTGGCAGTGCCCTTCACATAAACTCTACCTCCACGGGGGGCAACTGAAATTATGGAGTCCCCTAAAGGGGTGGTCCAGGGGGGGGTCCCTAAGGCTCCCGAAGAAACACATACACATATATACATATATATATATATATTATACTCATATATGTTGTGTTAAACAATGGTTCACGGCCAGGCAGCGCGACCAGGTATTGGAGACTTTTCAAGGATCAACTTTGATTTTGTTTCGAAGTCTTGAAGAAGTCAGCTTTTCAAAAAGTGGGCATCTCGTGGGGGAAGAAACAAAAACGGGGCATTCGTCTGGCCGTCTTGGTCGAGGTTCAGGGGCAGAGTGCGGCAAAGCACACAACGGCAACTTGCGGCAGGCGACCAGCGGCGGCAACCTCTCTCCAGCGAGGTCTGAAGACGGTTGGGGAGCCGGGCATCTCGGAGGGGACCCGGTTCCCCATCGCCATCACGGGAGACTCCGCATCCCAAGCACCTGCCCGCAGGAAGCGGCCCCATGCGACGGATTTTGTTTTTGTTGGGTGGGTTGGAAGTTGCGTCCACAACGGGTGGTAGCCAAACTAATTATTCTCGGTTGCTGCTGACCCCGCGAAAAGTGGTTCACAATTGTTGGGTGCAATTCAGGAAATCCGACCTCTTTCGCAAACAGTTGAAGTCCCAAGTTCCGCGACCGAAAGACCATAAAGTTTCGGGTTGACTCCAAAGGGCCCCCCACCCCGCCACAAAAAGGAACAAGATCGCCGCTGAGGTCTGGGTGGCTCGCCTATCTCAAACCGCTGACTCGGAAGCCGAGAGCTCCTTGCCGCGCGTGAAATCAATCTGGGCGAATTGTCATACTTCACCAACCTGAAATACGGTGGTTTGGGGGCTATTCCCCACAGAAACCACCATTGGGGGTGAATTCGGCTGCGTGCGGTCGTTGCAATTCACCCAGATCCATGGCCAAAGAGATAAAGGGCCAAAGGGCCGTCGCCCCAGTTACTTCCCCATGGGACACTTGGGCTGGAAATTCGGGGGTCATGTCTTCGGACAAACGTCCAATGGTATGTTTCTCACTTGCTGGGTCGTTTCGGACTGTAGCCGCTTCTTGTGATTGGACCAGTTGAGTGGAAAAAAAAGAAGAAGTTCAGACTCTGTCTTGGCTGATCCATGCAGGACGTGAATTATTCAGCTATTCAACTCTCGCAACACTTTGCAGCACGCCTTGCCGCGCATGCCTTCCGAACGCATTTCCGGCTTTTGCCGTGGAAGTGGACTTCGAGTTGCGCCCATCCACTAGCGGGCTCCAGAGCTCAGCTTCGTCTGTTTCGGCGCCTCATCCCCGAAACCCTCCGCCGAAAGGCCTCCGGTAGTCTCGAGGCCTTTGATTTGCCAACCGTAGCGCTGGTTGAAGAGCCTGCGGCGAAAACCAACTGCGACTCCCAGAAACCCACCCGAAACCAGCGAAAAAGCCCACCCTATAACCCTGAACAACACCCAGAGGAGCCGACTTCTCTGCCTCTTCCTTTCCATCTTTTTCCCTTCTTGGCTGTGTTGAGCCATGTCACCCGGCCAATTTGTTGGCAGCTTCAGAGCGAGCCCGATACGCAAAGCCGTTGGTGTGCGGCATGCCACGCTAAAGTGTAACTGGGCGTGAAAACGGCAACACCTCCCATTGCGAATCATACTTCTCCATCAACGAGCCCACATCGATATCGCTTATGAAGAAGACAGCGCCCCCCAGCTTATGATTTTTACCGCGAAATCCAAGCTAGCTTTGGACATTGAATGGGTCAAAACTGCCAGTCAAGGTCTGCAAAAAATCAAAATCACCCATCCCATGTGCCCATGGGTCAAAAGCCCATCCCAATTCCAACTAAAATAGACTAAAATGGGTGGTGCACCTACCCCGAAATGGTACCAATAGTTTTTACCCACAGCCATGTCGCCTTCCCTTCGATTAAATGAAACAAGGCGCCGTGAAGCAAGGACGCTGCACAGGGCCTAACTCCCCCGGGTCTCTATATTTCCCTTTTTGGGTGGTTGCAAATTTCATGGTTTGGCCCATGCCAAACCTAGATTACTACAACCCCTGGTTGATTTTGAGTGGGGTGTCTCCTTTTTACCAAAGGTTCCTCAATTTTTGGAGGCAATAAACCCCCTTTACTGCGCACGGGTTTATTCAAGTGGTCAACATTAGGTTTCCTTCCAGTTGCTTAGGTCCACCGGGGCAAAATACTTCCAGTACTAATAGGTTTTCTTTAAAACCAAGAGGGAAAATAATAACAAACAAAAACACTTAAACAACTACTGGAAAAAAAACAAACAACATATTTCCAGTAGTGAAAGATTCCCTTCAAAACCGACAGGGAGAACAACACAATAATCATTTCAGCAAATGGCAGTTTCTCTTGGCAGTCATGTAATGTTGACCCCGGGTCAACCCCTGTTTATTAATATGGGGGTGTCCCTGGTTTTAGTGAGGATTTATCACTTTGGAGGGGAACACCCCCATATTAATCAACAGGGGTTTACTAATCCGGGGTCAACACCATTTCTTCCGTGTCTTCTCCCCTGGATCCTCCCCCCCCGGCCTGTGCAGCGCGTAGCGCGCGGACGGTGCCTCCAAGCCGCCCCGGGAGTTCTTCGGAAGCGCCTGGCCGAAGCGAATTTGATCTCCGAATTCGTGGTCTAGGAACTGGGCAAACAGTGTTTAACCTCCAAGAGGATCCAAAATTATGGCCAAGCAATAGGGGTTTTACAATGTTCAATCAAACGGTTGTGAGTTCAGGACAGGATGGGACAGGTTGATGCAGCCTGGCGTACAAAACGAGAAAACACAAATATTTGTCTATAGGTATGTATATACACAAGCTCAGTTGCCCAAAGGATCTGGAGGGCCATGACTCAAAATGGACTAAAATGGAATTGGGGAAAGCCTGGAGGAATGCAAAGGGAGAAAAATCAGTTATTTGTCTATGTATAGACTGGCTGGAACAAGGACCCCAGCAAAACAACACATTTGTTTGCCTGGTTCGTGGAAAACGAAGGGCCCCCCCAAAATCAAAAACAACAAGGAGCATATACCAATACACATGTCATATGTACATTTTCTCCCTCTCCCTCTCGCCACGTGGAGGGTTGGGCAATGGTTTCAGAAACACGCCCCACATATCCCCACATTTAACAGGGACAAACTTGAAGGGGCAGGCTACGTAGTAAGTGGTTTTTCCCTGCGCCATCCTCAGTGGTTAGGTTGGTTATACCCCACTTCTACCCATGGCTTCTGTGGGTTATAACCAGGCTTGCTAGCCACTTACTTCCATTTGGTTAAGCCCCCTGGAAAATAGAAACATATTTCCACTAGTGATAGATTTCCTTCAAAACCAACAGGGAAAGTAACAAAATACTCATTTCAGCAAATGGAAGCTTACTAGCCACCCCGATCGTCCCTTTAAGACGACTGAATCTCGGTTGCTTTCTGCTCCCCTGCTAAAAGCTTCACTTTTAGCGGTTTAAAAACGGTTTAATGGGAAACCCATTCATTGGCAAAAAGGCAAAGCCCTAACATCCCCCTTGGCAAAATGCACCAAAGATTACTAAGTGGCTTGGCACCTTTTTTTGCACCCACAGCTAAGGCTCAATGTGCCGCATCCAAGCAACATGCACCAAAGTAATCCCACCGGCGCCCCAAGGGTGTCGGCCGGCCGAAGCCAAAGCCGAGCCTTGAAGGTCACGCGGAGGTCGTCTTCGAAGTCTTGCAAACGTTCAGCGACCTCGTTGAGATCGGGTAACCGACAGAAAGCTCAAAAAACAGCTTCTCACTGCTTGGTGGTTTGGATTGGTTTGGATTGGTTTGGGTTGGTTTGGACTGGTTTGGACTGGTTTGGATTCGGTTGGGTTTGGATTGGTGGTTTGGATTGGATTGGTTTTTGTGGTTAGGGGGAGGTCTCCCATTTACCGTCTACCAACGCCAGCGGTTCAAATCCCCAAACCCCCAATAATTGAGACTTACCTGAACAAAACACCAAAACACATCCCTTCGCATGGTCGTTACCAGAACCAAAAACGATCGCTTGTAAGACAGAAGTCTGGCCACAGGCGGGCAAACCACATGTTTTGAGGTACACCTGCATTTTTGTCAGTCGGAACCTGCATGGTTCAAGAAAGCAGCGGTACACAATTCAGCATCTTTACCAAAAACACGAAAAAAACACGAGGGAAGCATTGCTTGGGTTTGTCACCTCAAGAAAAGGTCCCCAGGCCCATCTATGCGAGTGACTAATTGGCAAGCCCTGGTAGGTCTCCAGTGGGTCTTGTTTCTTGGTTGCTGTTGACCCCCTGCAAAAAGTTCTTCACTTTTGGGTGGGTTTAGTGGAAAACACGATGAATTCCCAAAAAGTTCAAGTCTTAAGATCCAACCCAATATTTAATGTGTGTTTTTTTTGGGGGGACACTTTGCAACCCTTTGGTATGGTATCAAAACACCATTCTTCTTTGCAGAGCCCCACCGAAAAATGAAAAAGAAACCCAAGAAACCTACAAACCTACAAACTTGCCAACAGTGAAGGACGCCAACACCAAGCATGTGGGGCATCCCAAACTTGTCTGAGATACCCGATCTCCCCTTGCTGGTGCGATAGGCAGGGAATGAGAAATGGAACGACCCCCTATAAACCATCCCCCATGGATTCCTTTCAGGGAGTTTTCAGGTTCATTCCCAACACCCTGGGTCATTCCCCACTGAGCACAAGTTATTCCATGCGACATTTCCTAGGGCCGTGAAAAATGCTTTGGCTAACTCTTGTTTTGCCGCTTGCGCTCACGTCCTGTGTGTGGCTCATGTGGGATCTCCATGAGGGAATTCCATGAAACAGGGAACTTGTTTTGGCGATATGGGAACAACCGTGAGACCATCCCATGCTCAGAGCACATGGGTCAACAGCAGGGGTGCTTTCAAACACGGCCACCCCGCGTCGTTCAGTTTGCTTGGAAAGCTCGCCGGTCACGAGCCCAGCGCGGCGCGCAGAGCAAAGGCCAGGCCGCCGCCAGCGATGGCGAGGCGTGGGTGATGCCAGCGGCAGAAGCTGCGAGCTATAGCGCCCACTTCCTGCGTCTCCGCCCGGCGAAGCTGTGCGATGTCCTCGCCGAGCACAATGCTTGTGTAGGCCCCGATGGACAGCGAGGCGCCAGCGGTACATAGCCACGTCAGCTCGCGCGTGATGGAGAAGGCGAGCACGTGCGTGGCAGCTGTGAGAAAGATCACCGGCACCATGAGGTCGCGTCCGTACGGCCACCAAATTGGAAAGAACTTGCGCACGATCTCGGTGCCGTCGCTGCCAGCATCCACAAGCTTCAGGATGGTGCGCGTCTCGACAAAGGAGACAAACGTGAGGCAGCCCGCCAGGATGCCGGACATGCCCACGGCCAAGGATTGCGCAGCTTCTGTACGCATGGCGACTCGTGGGCGGGAGTCGATGAACGGGTACTGTGCTGAGTGGCTACGATCGAAATCAGTGCGTGGCATGTTGCATGACAGAACAGGACGTAATTTAAGTACGAGTACCGGCACATGACAACAAACACACATGAAGAAGAGTAAACTACATTGCCGCCCTTGTCCGCGCATGGCAGCATTACGTTGCAGGAATTGCAGTAAATCGCAGTACTTTACAGTAGTTACTGCAACGCACCATGCAGTACTGTACACCAAGACACATTAAACTACATTACAGCAAACAGCATTACACCAAGGCACAACTTCGTACAAACTTTTGCATATTTAAAGTCACGAAAACTAGACATATGATGTCTTCAATCTAGGGTACACGCCAACACTAAGATCCGAAATGATTGTGGGGGGAGAGCCCCAGTTATTGTCGCGATTTCGCCTTGATTTCCCCTTCCAAATCAACCCCCAACCAGGGTACTGACTCGCCCCCCAAATTCTTCATAACTTAGCGGTTAATTATTCCGAAAGCTAAAAGCATAGCTTTTAGCGGGATATGTTATACATCCCTCTCAACACATGGCTGCTTAAAGGGGCGATCGGGTACTTAGCGAATGGTTAGTAAGCCTGGTGGAATAACCCGCAAAAGCCATCACTTTTTCAGGCTCTGTTCAGTGGGTTAACAAAAAAAAACCAGGCTTACCATCATCACTGTACCAAATCGCATCCATCGCCCCTTCAAGTTACCAACCCTTGCACACCCCCCGCAACCCCTCCCTCCGACGGGACTTGCCGACCGATCCGCCTCTTTCTGCTCCTCCCCGAGCAGCAACTCCAGCTCCTCCAGCAGCGCCTGTCAGGTTTTAAACGGGAACCATCAGGAAACCAACAAGTTCTTGGGGTCCACTCAACCAAAATACAAAACACACCCTTCCCCGGATATGTTTCCAGTGAAATTGAGTCCCTTAAAATCCAGGAGAAGAAAACGATTCTTAAGCCAGCAAATGGACGTTTGGATGAATTCGTCAAATGGGTCTCTCCCCCTCTCTCTGTCTCTCACTCTCTCTCTCTGTCAAAATGGCAACGGGTTCCCTTTGGTTTCGTTTTAAACCAGCCGGCAAAGGGTTCCTTCTCCAAATGCATCTGCATTTTTTGGGGAACCCTTTTTTGGTTGGTTCTTTGAGGGAACCAAGAGAGGAACACCGAAGCCATTTTGGTGAGTCTCCTGGACCCACAAAATGGCGGGGTCCTGTTCAACCAAATTGAAAAGCGCACCCTTGAATCCAAATAGGCCACTTACTTGAGGGGGCAGGGTAGTAAGTGACTAGCAGCCCTGGCAATCCACTTAGTGAACTTACACCCACGGTAAGTAGCGTATCAGCATGGCTACTAATCGCAAAGTATGCTGCCCCTTCACTCACTTGCCCAAAGGACGTGGAAATAAATGGTTCACCGCTTGGAACCTTGACGATGAACCAAAGCAGGGAAACAACAAAGCTTAAAAGGCCGGTTTGCTTTCGGCAAGTCACCTCAAGCACAATGAGGGTACTCCACTACCACGGGAAAAAGTGATATTCCCGAAGAAAAAAACCATAGGACAACTACCATGTCCTTTCACAACTCCTGGTAGCTCCTTAGCTCCCCTCACTTCCTGAGTGGACTGGCCAACAAGTGTGAACTTTTTATTGACCACGAAAATGGTTCAAGCCCAAAAACTGACTAACGTCCATGAACTCAACTCACTCCCTCTTGAAAGGCATCGGGCACTTAGTAAGGTGAGGAATGGTGGTTAGTAATTAAGCCTGGTGGAATGACCCACTTAAGCCATGGTCTTCAGTGGGTTGATTATAAACAGGCATGCGATCACCACTGACCTGACGTACCGAATCGATCGCACCCATTGACCCTTCTAAGTTGTTCGCCCGACCTTCCATTTGCCTAAGCTGCCTGGAACAAATAAACATATTTCCAGTAGTGATAGATTGCCTTTCAAACCAAAAAGGGGAAAATAAAACATATTCATTTCAGCAAATGGAAGCAATGAAGGCCCTTTGTTCTGTGTAAATTTTAGTAGGGGAACCCTCCCCGTAATTTTTTAAACAAAAAAACTAGGAACTGTTCCGGCAATATTGGGGGACCAAAAGGGGAAATTAAGGCATATTCTTACTACTGAGGGGGCCTAGAAGTTGTTCACCCCATGGACATTGCCCCGGACTGACCTCGGACTGAATTCGCGTGACTCGCGTGAGCCGGCCTTCGGCTGCTTCGGCAGGCCCCGCAGGCCCTTGTCTGCCTTCAGGTCAGGGAAAACCGCGGGAAGGACAGCCAAAAGGAACGACAGCTAGGGTCTGAATGTTAACCCTAATCATTCAGATTATCCGGCTGATTTTGGGTGGGGGGTGTCCCCTTTTAGTAGGGATTCAGACCACTTTTGGAGGGAACACCACCCTAATACTGGGACGGGTTTATTCATCCTGGGTCAACACTAGCCAGCAGCCCCCAATGTCCAAAATTCCATTGCGCCAAAAGCAGTTGTTGGGGGGTGCTGGTTGGAGCATCTGCGCGATTCTGCAATTCCAAAGCCTGAGGTAAGAAAAATAACGGACCGAAACACCTACCTACATGGCTTTCGCTCAGCTCGAAACCCGAACATCGGCATTCCTCCTCTTCCATTTGCTCAAGACCCTATTTCCAGTAGTCATAGATTCCCTTAAAACCAACAGGGGGAAAAACACATATTCATTTTAACCAATGGAAATCCTTGGAACAATACCCAGAACATGGAGTCCGAAAAGTTGGAGGGAAATGCCAACATTTGTTTGGGGTACCAACTCGCCCTTGAGGTTGCCTGAAACATATCCCACATCGCTTGAACGGGGACTGGAGGAAAAGAAGAGATTTCGAAAGGTACTAAGGCAGCTGGAAGCTCACTTGAAGTGGGGAATCCTCAAACACCCTCACGATCAAGTACTTCTGCTTAAAAGGCCTGCACTGATATCTGCTTTTCTCCTGGGTGGTATGCTGGTCAAAGCTAGCGCAAGATGCTTGCGACTTACCTGGGCTGTCCTCAGATCCTGTTTTTAGTTGGCTAAGTGGAAACACAACCACTAAACCAACCGACTACCAACAAAAATGGAAAAGTTTGCTTGGGCTTAAAGTTTAAAGGGAAACTCCGCTTTTTGCTCTTGTGCTTAGCTGTTCCCAGCTAGCCCCTTAGACCGACCAGCTAACAAGCTCGAAAGTGGGCCAAGCCGCAGAAATCGGCCTCAAACGTAGCAAGCTCAAAGATGTTGAATTCGGCAAGGAGAAAGTCTCACACACACACACTTGAAAATACAGACACGCACGCACACACACACACTGTGAACAACTCCCCGAAAGGAGTAAAAGAAACTTGTAGATCTTGTCCACGCTCCCTGAAACAGCTGATTCTGCTAGGACGTTTCTCCGGCGGCGAGCCACTCGCCGAGCTTTCGGCTCGGGCCTCGGCCAACTCCTTTTCCCGGCAACGGATTTCATCCGCTGCTGCCGGAGAATGCTGCCACCGTGCCAAATCAAATCGGCCGAGAGCAGACACGTTTGCACCCCCATGGTGTCTGGTCTTCGTTGGCCAGGACAGACATCCATGGGCTCCTGGCCTGCAGTTTTAAAGAGCCTTTGGTCTCAGGCTGTGGCACACACACAACACACAAACACAACACCACAACAACACAACACAACGCAACGACACGCAACACGCAACACGCAACCACAGGACCGTACAACCGCAGAACCACAAAACCACACAAACACATAAGCACACAAACGCACAAACACCCAAACACCCAAACACACAAACACGCGAACGCGAACGCGGACACGGACACGGACACGGACACGAACACGAAAACGAACACGAAGACACAGACACACAGACACACAGATACACACACACACATACACACAGACACACAGACACACATACACACAGACACACACAGACACACAGACACACAGACACACACACACAAAGATACAGACACACAGACACACAGACACACAGACACACAAACACACACACCCACACACACACACACATTCACCCGCCCGCTCGCCCGCCCGCCCGCGCACGCACCCACCCACGCACCCACGCAAGTAGGCACGCACGTACGCACACAAGCACGCAAGCGCACAAGCACACAAACACAGACACACAGACACAGAGACACTCAAACAGACACACGCACAGACTGACACAGCCACGCAAACACACAGACACACAAACACACACAGACAGACACGTACAGACACGCAGACACAAACACACTGCCACACAACCGCACAACCGCACGATAGACATGCACAAGATACCACCGCATGAGACCACAAGACAAAGCTCCACACCAGGCAACACAACGTGACGCTGCAAAAAGCCTTACATAAAACAAGCATCCCCACCCCACCCCACCCCACCCCACTCCACTCCACTCCACGGCTCGCCTTCTTGCGGAAGCTGACGCTTCCCTGGACCAAGAGCAGTGCCAAGAGGCACCTGGCGAGGTTGGGGGTTCGAGGCTCCGATTTTCCCCGAAGATTTCGCGAAGTGCTTTGGGGTTCACAATGTGAACAGGGCTGTGGGAAATGGAATTCACTTGGCTATGGGTCAAAACCCAAATCGTACCCCAGTGAACATCCCAATCCCCACCAAAATAGGTTCTAGAATGAGTGGTGCACCTATCCCAAGATGGTACCATTGGTGTTGACCCCTGGCCACTTCTGTGATACAACAGAAAGGGCTTCGCAAAGACTAACCCTTGTATCACAGAAGTGGGGAGATTCCCCGGTATCACAGAAGGGGGATAAACCCCTTGATCCCACCACCCTGCATGTGAAAATCCGAAAAAAAATCGAGTGGGCCAAAGGTCCAGGTTTTTTTTTGCGCTTGTCAACGACGGCTTCCAGGTTCAAGGCGGCCAGACACCAGCGGAATCTGCTTCCGTGGGTTTCGTTTCTTCCCCGAAGATCTGGCCGTGGTGGTCAAAAACCGATGGGATCCCATTTTGGTGGATAGGTGAATTCACCACCCTTTTTAGGTCCCTAATTTAGTGGTTGCATTGGTTGATGTTCACTGGGGGCTACGATTTGGGTTCTGACCCATGGCCATCTGATGATCTGGGAAGCCATGGGAAGCATAAAGTGATAAAAGGAATGGCGCAGAGTGGGGCTGTTGCAAACCGTCCCGAGTGGAATGCACCGCGCATGACCGGAAATAAAGGTAGGATGTTTGCCGTCCAAAGACCCTGCCAAGCTGGCCTTTTGCTTCTCACTTCAGTGGATTGGTCTGCAAAAAACGCATACCCCATACCTGTTTACCGCTAAAATTGAGCTTGCTCGGGGGATTGCGTCCTCTTCAAGTAGACACGTGTTGACTTCAAAGTAATAAACTCATCCTACAAATCAATCCCCACTAAACCAGAGACACCCCCACTCAAAATCAACCAGGGTTTGTTCATCGGAGTTCCTCTCTAACGCGCACAATCACCTGCCAAAACTAAAAACTGCAGTTTCCACTCACGGAACCTGGTAAATCGCCGGGTCTCGATCTAGGTTTCTGCTAGAATGCCTACCACTGCAGCGGACAAACGCCCGCCCCAAGACATACGAAATTGTTCCTTATATACCTACAAGAGGAACTGTCGACCCCGAATTCATCAACCCAAAGCATGAAGGATTCGCTGTTAAATGGGGCCTTTTCAGGGACAAGCCCCTATCAACCAGGGACTTAACCCCTTGCAAATTAATCAATCCAAAAACCGAGTCCGATTCCCACAAGCAAATTCCCTCTGTCAGCATTTTTTTGGGTTCCATCTGGGTTCCCTGTTGGTTCCTATGACTCCATCAGGCACTGAAATTTTGCTCAGTTGGACCGCACTGCGCTCGCGAGTTCGAGAACGTGGCTAGGCAGCGCCTCATTGCCAGCTTCATTGCCATAGTGGATCAGACCTCGCCCGGAGAAAAGCCGAAAAACACGTGGCGCGCCGTGGGTCTTTTGGGGAAGCTTCTCCCTTACAACTTGTACATGAAAATGGTCAGCGGGGGCCTCTCTTAAAGCGCTCGGTCTTCGAGAAACGGCCCGAAAGGGGTTTGACAGGATCCTCCACATTCCGAGCTCGGATTGTCCAATGTCAAGCAATCTCCCTACCATAAGGGGGGGGGGTGAAGGGGGTCCCCCAATTCCATTTTTAAAGGGACGGGGATGTCAAGCACTGAGAGGGACAAAGACGGAATTGTGAAAGCGCACAAAGCCGCCCAGCAGAAAGGAAGCCTAATCAAGACCTACTGAGCCAACTACAAGGCCTGTCTTTTGGAACCTTCCAGCATTCGGCCCGTGACACATACAGGAATCAATCCGCACAATTGCCACGAAACCATCATCCGCCAACCTCGCGTGATGTACCTATGCCTCTTGCGAGACTTCCTGCAGCCGAGTCGCCAAAGTTTCTGAGAGAAATCGCGTGGCCGGTCGAGCCGAGCGGCTTACGCTGGCGACCCGCTGACATCCAATGCCATGATCCCGTCAAAGTGAGGAAGTTTCATTTGATTCAGCAAATGCATCAACCACGAGCAACCCAAGCAGGAAGAACAACCATGCGTTTGCCCTCACATGCCACCGCTTTCCAAGCCAGGACGCAAGAACATGCATGGACCTGCATGCTTCACGAGGCTTGGGGGCCTCTGAGGCAAGGTGTGTGTGATCTCTCTTCCACAGATGCGGCTAAGTTGATTTAGGGCGAAGACGGCTCTGGAACGATGGGAAGGGCCCCTGCTGTGGATGGACGAAATCCATCTCGCACCACCTAAGAAGCCGGCCTGGACTGATGATTGCTCTGTAAATACCAACGCACAGCTTACCCCTTTAAAACTCCAAGGATTGGGGAGGTTAATCTTTTACAGACATATAGCCCATGTTACCCAAAAAGATGAGAAACGTTTTGTGTTTTTAAGAGGTAAGACAGGGGTTTCCCGTGGTTTCAAAGTGGTGCGAAATGAGCGGATTTCGTCCACCGTTCTGAGGCTCCTTGTGGCGCTGGGTGCATTCGGCAGGCCTTGCCCCAGGTTGCATTGCGCCCCATAGCCTGGAGATGTCCTTGCTCAACATGGAACCCCACACAGCGGATCCCCCCACAGGCAGCTCCCTCCAAATTTCGTATCTGGCCGTGGCTGTCAAAACCGATGGGATCCCATTTTGGTAGGTGAATTCACCACCCAGTTTGGTCTATTTATTTTAGTGGGGATTGGGATGTTCACTGGGGGTACGAGATTTTGACCCATGGCCATTTCAGGAGGGGTGCGCACGGTTTTTCCGGTGCGCGGTCAATGACCATCTCATTGCTTGTCGGCGCTTCCGGTTGACGGTTCCTGGCGAACGGGCGAAAAGGAATACAGGCCAACTCATCGATGCCTAAGCGTCACTAAGTCTGCTCTCTCCAACATGGCAAAAACAGCTACCCCCAGACGGCAAGCAGGGGGACATGACACATGTCACTATTATCTGTGGACACAAGTTCAACTGCAAATCGGTGGCAGGAAAATGCTCATCTAAGAAAGTGTTAGCAGATTCGAAGCAAATATATAACCATGGGAGTTTGCTCATTGGCTTTAAATGGACATCAAAAGGAACACCACCGTCATAGTCAGCCCGTGGTCGCCCGGATTGAGCGCGATGAAATTGCCAGACTGACGGCGAACGGCCGATGCGCCGTCTCTTGCCGGCAAGGTGGGTCTCCAAAAGCAAAAACGTCACTAGTCCCATCCAACATGCTGGGGTTCGGAAGCTCCAAAAAAGTTTGCAACATCTCGCCTGCTCCCCGTTGTCCTCCTTGTCCTCCTCCTTGTCCTCCTTCTCCTTGTCAGTTTCTTGACTTCCCTTGCCTCAGCTGCGGCGAAACCGCACCAGCCAAAGCACCGCTGGCAGGAAGGGTGCATCGCTAGCTCTGCTCCTGTTCACGCTTGGGGTTTGATATAAGTTTCCTTCTTAACTTGAACCACGGGCCCAACTGAACTTCCACACACACACACACACCCTGCTTGCATGTCAAGTTGCCGAACATGCTCCAGTTCGAGGTCAGCTGGCCCATTGCGGACATCGAGCCCTGCATGCCCTGCATCGTGCCCTGCATGCCCTGCATCGTGCCCTGCATCGTGCCCTGCATGGCTGACATCTGTCCCTGCAGGTCACCGAATTTGCCCGACACCTGCTTGTTCAACTCCTCGAGGTGGCCTGTCATGAGTCATTCAATGAGCCAGGGCCTCGTACCAAGAGGGCTTATATCAGCCATGCGCACATGTTATAGGGAATTATGTTCATACAAACAACTGCAAAAAATGAGAAATCTTGCAAGTCCATTCTGGCTCCTGACTAAAAAATGACTTTTCATTCTGAACCATGCCAAAAAACCGACTGCTTTGCCATCCTTTTGCACTCTAAACACTTGTAGCTCTTGACGGGTGGAAGTCTTCCAGCTAGGCAAGAACATCCTCAGGACTGCGTTCTTCTGGGCAAGGGAAGCCTCCCTCTACAGCCGCCATGTCACACCCGGCCTGGCTTAGCACTAACACCCCCCAAGTATGACAAGAAATCCAAGGAATCCTTCCAGAAACTAGTCCAGAAACTGCCAAGACACACCAGAAGCTGCACAGGCATGACAACACATTCTGAAAACTATAACAACGCCCTGAAATGCTCCAAACCATTCCCAAAAGAGAAACACACATCGCAATCATTCTGACAAATGTGAAACACACTTCGCTAAAACTCTGCCCTGTGTCATACCTTTTTGACCACAAAAACATATGCTTATTGTTTCATGCGTATTCATGGAAATTCAACTAGTTTTCATAATCTCCGAGTCCTTGCCTCTGATATGGATCCCTTTGATATGCATCCCGAAACGCTCTAAAGAATGAGACGAGGCCCCCCCAAGAAAGGTACAAGCGCAAAGCAATGGGCAAAAACCCAGAAGTGCAGGTCGCCTTTCCGCCAACCAACCACCACCAGCGAACAGTGCGCCTGTGGCTTTGCCCTTCAGCTCCTCCAAGTTTGCCGAAGCCTGGCCCTTGAGCTCCTCGAATTGCTGCGTGGCCTCCGGGCCGCGTGGCTGCGGGGGTGCAACGGAAGCTCGGGAGAAGTTTGTGTATGAACAAACAAATCAAACAATCACATCAAACAGCCTCTGTTTTTGAGCATTAACACGGAATGCTAAATTGCTGCGTTCCTTGGAAGATCAGCGGAAATCGTTTGTCGACTGCTGGGTGTTGGAAATCTTCAAAGAGGTGCCCGATCTTTCAGGCACCATGCTAGCAATATTTTGGGGTCCCCACTGAGTTGTTTGAACCAGCATCCGGCCCAATGCGGACTTGCTTGGCATTTGCTCTATGCGGGTGGTAAGTGTAAAACTCACTCCTGAGTGAAGAAGAGACGCGACCCACTCGTCGCGAATACCACTAATATTACTATGTATATATATATATATTATGTATCCACGGCTTTTGCCAAGATAATGGCATTCAACTCGGGGAGCAAGGTGGAGTCACATGTGTAGCTCCCTTGGGCTCGAACGTAGGACCCTCCTGCAGGTTCCTTGCCAAAAATGTCTACAGGAAAGCTTTCCATGCATGTGTGGCAGCACGCCTCATGAAATACCCATAACATGCTGAAAGAGTACGATGCTAAGCTGTAATGGGACACCAGTCAAACCTGGGCCGACCATTTTGATCAAAGCGCCGCTAGCCTCGAGCTAGATTTAAAGAAGCTAGCCCCGAGATGATGCGATCCTTTCGGGTTCTGGGCACAGGCTCCTTCAAGATACGGTCCAACATGGAAGCCACCAGGTCCCTTTTGAAGGAAAATTGTCTTTCAGGAACCGCCAGCGTGATGTTCCATGTTGATGGGACTTACCAAAGCTAGACTGTGACCCCACCTGAGCATTGTGCCAGGAAGGACCCTTGTTACGCATTGAAGGCTTAGACATCTGAGGTTCCTACCCTGCCAACATGCTGATGCAGGCCTACGGCAACTGCCGGTTCCATCGTACTGCTTGCAGCGTTGGACTGCAGTCAGATAGTCCACCGAATGGCAGTCAAATAGTCAGGGTCAATATGTTGCGACCGTTTTTTGCTGCTCGGGTCTTATCCTAGGGCCTCCAGTAGAGAGGTTAGAATAAGAGTGCTCGATCTTTTTTCTGCATCCCCTACCAAAACAGGTGAGAAAGGGCACCTAGCTGGGGGACCTAGTATCTCTTGGAACCGGAAACGGACATTCTGTTTTTCCGGGCTGTCCTCAGCTCCCCCGCTAAAAGTCTGACTTTTAGTGAGTTAAATTCGGAAATCCCAACACTAAACACTAAAAAAAGCCCCAGAAAGCAAAGGAACCGCATGGCTGGGCTTTGCCACCCAGTTTTACTTACCCCTTAAAACTCCAAGGATTGGGGAAGTTTTCATCTTTTACAGACATATAGCCCATGTTACCCAAAAAGTTGCGAAAAGTTGTGTTTTTAAGAGGTAAGCTTATGGGTCTTTGGCCAAAAAACGCCAACTCGCCGGGCTCCGATTGATTGGGCCTTGCCCTTGAGCTCCTTGAGGTTCTCCTTGACCTTCTCAACATCCACGTGGGGCGCATCGTAGTCCTCTTCCTGGGCCGAAAACCGCGGAAGAGGAAACCGCGGGATCGGAGATTTGTCTCGTTTTCCACGTGCTTTGTTTAAGTCCACCAAACCACCACACCACCAAACCACCAAACCACCACCAATCCACCCAGAAGGAAAAACAGTTTCAGAGTGCCAGCAGTGATGGATTCATTCCAAAAAAAGCGCGCGGAAATCGAAATAGTGTCACGGAAGCTAGTTGAAAGGGGGTGGATGTCTTGTCAACATGTCCTTATTGGTTAGTAAGACATTCTCAAAGTTTCCCCAGATGGTGGCAAGGGACCCCCAAAAGTAATTTTGATGACGCTCAAAATGCTCACTTTCAGGGGCCTACTCTAGACAGCCTCCTTTTAGTTGCTGAGTCCACTTGTCTCGCCCAACTTTGCCCAACCCTGACCCGGAACAGGCAAACAGCACGCTCAGCTTTTCTGACAAGGGAATCCTGGGCCCAATTGCAACCAGCCCGAAGGGTAGAAAACTAGTTGGTTGCCCACCTTTCTCCTTGCAAAGTGGGGACCGTGCCCAGTGCTAGCTATGTTAGTGGGAGGCAGGGCTTGTTTCTGTACAACGGGTTGGTATCACAAAGGCAGGCCGTAGTTTTTGTCCACAAAACAGAGGGAAACAGGGGACTGAACAGCTCGACTGGGGCGAATCGGCGAAGCCCAAAGACTTGTCTCTTGGCTCCCCTTCTGGCATTGAAACAGCAATTGACAATGGGGATCTTACCTCGGTTGCTGAATCTACTCCCCTGCTAAAAGTGAATAACTTTTAGTGGTTAATATGGAAAACCCATTAGTTGGCAAAAAGTGAAAGTCCTAACAGCCAAGCAAAATGCGCCAAAGTTACAACTCCCACTTGAAGATAGCGTCTGCCCAAGTTTGCGCTTCCCGCTGCCACACGTCAACAAGCTATCATTCACGGCTTCAAGAGCCATCCAACAAGTCCCGCTCCAATACCATTCTTCTGGGGATCTGTTCAACTCCCCTTGTCAGGAAATCCCCGCCATATCCCTCTGCAATGCAAACCTTAGCCACATTTGGCCAAAGTGGCCTTTAAGGCGCAAGGCGAGTTCAGTCAATGCGGGGGTTTGCCAGATCCTCGAGTAGAGAGATTAGCAGACGGGTACCGTTTCTTTTTTCTGTAGTCTATTTTAGTAGGGAAACCCTCCCAACCAAAAAAGGGGTGAGAAAGGGCACTGCTGGGGGACCTAGTTTGGGTGTGAACTTTCAAGCCGCCTTGGCAGCGCAGTCGTTGAAGTAGAGCCCGATGTCCTCGTTCACCTCCAGCAAGTGCTCCTGAAACACCCGAAAGGTGGGACAAGGTCACTCCCAGCTTGGGGTGAGCCACTTTTTAGGGCAACCCACACAACAAGAGGCAAAACGGGGGCCAGTGAACAATCAGATTCCATCCTGTCCAAGCACACGGAGTAGGAAATCTATCAAAGACAGATCGTGGGTTGAACTGAACTTCATATTTACCACCAAAACGGCCCCCCGAAGCGAAGTCCAGGAACTCGGGGGGTGAGTTCATTTATGGCCGTGGCCCAAAAAAACCGAGGAATTCCAACATGGCTTGCCCTGGGAAGTGGACACATGGACCAAAACCTGCGGCTTGCCCCTCCGATCGTTTGATTTTGAGGCACACCCCAGTGAACATCCCAATCCCCACTAAAATACACACAAAGCACCTAACTACCCCAAAATGGTACCAAAACGGTTTTGACCCACAGCCATTTGGCCTACCCAGGTTCCCATGGCGAAGAATGAGAAGGCGGCGGCGAAGGCATTTGTGGCAAGGGGAAGATCCTTTAGGCTGGAAAAATCGGACCCCAGCAACAAATATACTTTTTTCCTGGGTAGTGGAAAACAAAGGGATCCCAAAAAAGCAAAAAAGCAAAAAGGGGAGCTAATTCTGGGGAAGTACCTTTATCTACCTCCATTTGCTTCGTCGTCTCCTGGCAAAAATGAGGAAAATGTCCAGTAGTGAAATCGAGTCTCTTTGATTCCCAACAGGGGGAAACAAAACAAACATATTTCTCTAGGGGTGCCTTCCATGTACATTCTTTCCAGGGATCCTTCTTTCTAGAAAAACCTCCAGAAACCCAGGGAAAATAGCTGGTTGTTGAAATGAACGATGGTTGACAAGAATGGAAGAGGCATCAGCCCCTAGAATTTTTCAGCCAACGGAAGTCTCCCCGGATCGGTTTCGAAGGGAGTCCTTGCCCGGGATGCAGAAGAGTGCGGGGGGCTGGTGCTGGTAGATGTACTGGGACCGCAGGCAGTAGACCGGGTTCGTGGTGAACCAACTGCAAGGGATGCGCCTTGAGCAGTCCTGCCGAAATTGATTCTGCCCGGAAAGAACTAAACAAACCCAGCAACCAAGGAAATTATCAGCCAACCAAACAACCAGCCCGGAGATGCGAAAAAAGGACTTAACTAACCAACAAAGAAACAACCAAGCAACCAAGTCAATAGCCAGCCAACCAACCAAACAACTAAACAACCAAACAACCAGACAACCAACCAACCAAAGAAAGAAAGAAGGAAAGAAGGAAAGAAGGAAAGAAGGAAAGAAGGAAAGAAGGAAAGAAGGAAAGAAGGAAAGAAGGAAAGAAGGAAAGAAGGAAAGAAGGAAAGAAAGAAAGAAAGAAGGAAAGAAAGAAAGAAGGAAAGAAGGAAAGAAGGAAAGAAGGAAAGAAGGAAAGAAGGAAAGAAGGAAGGAAGGAAGGAAGGAAAGAAAGAAAAAAAGAAAGAAATAAGGAAAGAAAGAAAGAAAGAAATAAGGAAAGAAAGAAAGAAAGAAATAAAGAAATAAACAAACCCAACCATGAACGAGTGACATCCTCAAAGTTCATGGAATTATGCATTCACACATTTTTGCGAAGCCCAAAAATCATGCTCACTTTTTTTTTTGGGGGGGGGGGCATACTTCCCCACTTTTGTGTGTGGTGGCAAGGGAACATCCCGAAAATCCCATTCAACCTGGGCTGTTCTCAGATCCCCCGCTAAAAACTAATCGTGTGGCCAAACAGGAAACCGAACCACCAAACCAACAAAAAAAAGACACCTCAAAAAAATGGACGGCTGGGAAAAAAAAAGCCCGGCCGTCCAAAAGAACCCACTCCTCTCGGTTGCTTTCTGCACCCCTGCTAAAAGTGAATAACTTCTAGTGGTATCATGAAAAACCCATTCGTTGGCAAAACCTTAAAGTCCCAACATCCCTTGGCCAAATGCACCAAAGAAAAGTTTAGCTTTTAGTGGGCCAAATGCAAACCCAACCACTAAACCAACCTTAAAACGACCAAAAGCTGAGGAACATCCGCTGGCAACATGCACCAAAGTCCTGGTAGGTGTTGGCGTCGGCGCCCTCCGAGGCACCCGCCAGGCCGAACTTGGGCACCAGGAACTTGAAGGCCAAGGTGTGCAGCAGGACGTGCCCGAAAAAGGCCACCACGCAGCCCACGATCCTGCCAGCCGCCGCACCACGAGACAAACTTCTCGTTGTTTTTTGGTTTTTCTTCTCCGGTGGGCCGATGTCTCTAAGAAACATTCTACTGCATGCTGCCGGGACAGAAACTTGGCCGTCGTCTTTTTTGTATTTTTTCGGTGGGCAGATTTTTATCGGCGCAAAGAAAGATGTCGCGACTGCGTGCAGACAAATCAAGGGAGGTTGAACACTCCTGGGGGGGTCACTGGATTTTTCCGAGCGTCTCGTGGCTTTTTGTTTTATTATTATTATTCGGTGGGCGGATTTCTCGGGCTGAAAAAAACGGTTTACTACACAGGCACAAACAAAGGGACTTTTAAAACTTGCGGTGGAAAGACACAGGAGTTCCCAAAAAACTGAAAGTTGATACATTTCAACTCGGGGGTTCCATTGAAACGATCGCCACTTTTGGAGGTTCCAAAAAGTTATGCTGGTGGGGTTGAAACCGAATCTCCAGCCGAAGGTGGACGATTTCACCCAATGGCGGCCAAGGAGCATGGTGTTTCCGTCCACGCCTTGCAAAAGTTGAGAGTGACTCTCAAAAAAAGTCCGGCCCTTTCCAGCGGACAACACAACTAACTTTTTATTCTTCAGAGATCTACCCCATTCTCGGTTTTTGAGGTTACCCTTGGACGTATAGTTTACCCTTCGAAAGCCTTTCGGGCAACAGGTGTCGGCTTGGAAACTGCGGAAAGCAAAGTTCAATGGACCTGTAAACTGCACCGGCGAAGCAAACTGGGAATGTCAACATGAGCGCCCAATGTTTGACGTTTCGCGGCTCTAAACAAATATAGCCCTTAGTATACGAACGTGCCAAAACTAGGCTGGAACTAGGACCCCAGCAAAAAACAAGTCATGTTTGCCTGGTTAGTGGAAAACAAAGGGACCCCAAAAAAGCAAAAAACAAAAAGGGGAGCCAATTAAAAGAGGTTTTGGGCGCTATCGGGCGGCAGCCGCCAATTTTTTGCGCTAATTGCTGTGCTGGTTGCATGGGTAGCCCGGCTGGCAGTTTGCCTTGAAGACCACACAAGCCAGCATGAAGCCACAGGGGATGCACATCATCCACTGCGACCACCTCAGTTGTTCAGTGACCCTGAGGAAAAAAAAGGAAACCCGTTTTAGGGAAGACCATGTTTAGTGGAGCAGCCACAAAAACAAAGGGAAAAAGGGTGCCACTGAACAACTGAGCCACCAATCCACCATCTTGTCCGCGAAATTGCAGCTCTGGATGGACCGGAGCACTCTGTAGTGGTCAAAGAGGTAGATGTACCTTGCGAAGACGTTCCTTTGAAACAGGGCTCCCTATGTTTCCCCTTCAAACACCACCCCCAGCAAGGGATACTCACCTTTCATGGGCCAAAAAGGCGATGTTTAAAACATCACCAAAAAGGGAAATATAGGGACCCTGTAAGGGCCTAGAAAATGCAAGTTTCACCTTGTTAAACTGGCAGCCAATGGGAGTGCACAAGCCATGAACCGACAACATCAACTAATGCAACCAAATACAGTGCACCAACAACTGCAATATGGGCGCGTGCATGTGTGTCAAAATGAGGGGGGAGGGGGGTGCCAAAATGGTGGCCTGCCCTTTTGGTGTCCCACTAAACTAACCTGGAAAGGGTACCCTCAAAACACCCATAGAGGTCTGTCCTTTCTTAGGGTACCCCGTTTTGCTTGGTTTCAAAAGGAAACCCAAGAGAAATACTACCACTTTGTGTTGGGCTCATAGTTCTATCCCACTACGCAGAGTATCCGAACGACTACCCCACCAACTCACTGACAGGGGGTGGTCCCTTTAAAAGGGAAATGGTCTTCCACCCGGACTGCGTGCAACAGTCTCAGGTCCGCCTAGGACTGTTCTTGATCAAGAACCCTCCCACTTGCTACTTCTTATTGAGGGGGTCCAATCCATGTTTTCCACGTCCTCCAGTAGAGAGCTTACAATAAGGGTACCCCTTTTTCTGTAGTCTATTTTAGTAGGGGAACCCTCCCCAAAAAAAGGGTGAGAAAGGGCACTACTGGGGGACCTAGTTAAATGGCTGGGATTCTCTAACATGAAACCTCTTTCAGGGGGTGGTCCCTTTTAAAGGGATAAATGGTCCACCCCACCCGGACCAAACCTCAGATTTCATGTGGGTGTGGCTCAAAAGCAAAGAGCTGGGGCTAGTCTTTGGTTCCATTTAGCAAGGTATACCAGGGTGCCATTTTGGTCCATTTTTCGGATCCACAGCCATTAAAAAGGGTAAAAGGGCACTACTGGGGGACCTAGTTAAATGGCTGGGATTCTCGGTGTGAATTCCTTCTACCCCACCAACTAACATGGAACCTGAAAGGGGGTGGTCCCTTTTAAAGGGATAAATGGTCCACCCCACCCGGACCAAACCTCAGATTCCATGTCTTAAATGGCTGCAAGGGCACCTCCAGGTTCCATGTTAGTTGCTGGAGTCTTTTTGCCAATACTCTGCGTAGTGGGATAGAAATATGAGCCCAACACCAAGTGGTAGTATTTTTCTTGGGTTTCCTTTTGAAACAAAGGAAGCGGGGTGCCAAGCAAAACGGGGTGCCCCAAGAAAAAAACAGACCACCATGGCGGTTTTGAGGCTACCCTTTCCCCGCCCCAAGCCTCGTGACGTTTTGTTTTGTTTGTTTTCTTCTCCTTCCGAGGCGCACGTGGGACCCGGCCAGGCCGAGGAACATCTGGACGTTGAAGCCGCCCGGGAAGAAGAAGATCAGCACGGCGATCATGACCTTCAAACGGCCGTGGGTCAAACTCCCGTACCAGCGAACATCCCAATCCCCACTAAAATAGACTAAAATGGGTGGTGCACCTACCCACAATGGTCCGATTGGTTTAGACCCTCAGACCCCTTTTGTGCCAACCCCGATTTACGAATAGGGTGGTTTTTGGCCCCTCCAAAAGTGGCCTGGTTGTACAATTCCCCGCATTTCACGCAGGGAAAAGCACGGGCCCCATTAGCACAGGCAAAACGTGGCTGGACATCAGCCTCCCCAAAGGATATTTATTTCGGGTCCAGGACTCATTGAACATCACAGCGAAATAAGTATTTTAAACTTGGTCCAAACCAGTGGAGAGGTTAGAATAAGGGTGCCACCTTTTTTTCTGTATTCTATTTTAGTAGGGGAACCCTCTCCAAAAAAGGGTAAAAGGGCACTACTGGGGGACCGAGTAATTAGGCATAAAGTCGGCCTTGCGGGGACTGTTCCAAAGGTGACGCCTAGAAGTGCTGCTTCCAACGATCAACGAGCTGAAGCTCGCTACCATCCTGCGATGAAGTTTCCATGGTTCCTTTTGGTTCCCTCGAGGGGCAAAGGCACAACGGCTATGGCGTACTTGCTGCTTCCAAAACATCCAAGCTTTCTATTCCTGTCTTCAGGAAGTTGGGCCAACCCACCCAATATCCAATAGCCACAAGGTACTGATGGATGGTCACCTCTAGGTACTGTCATAGGATTCCTTTCGATGGACCGCACTGTCTCCCCACTTCTCTGGAAAAAATCGATTTGGGGAGGGCTTTGGATCCCCTGATGTGCTTCCCCAGACCTCCGGTGGCCGTCTGAGACAACTCGCTGGTTCTGACGTCTTTGGTGTTGAAGTGGGGTCGGGGGAGCGCCAAACAAAAAAAAACGTACCGGGAGAAAAAAGAAGTGGACCCCCCAAAAGTCGGGCTTTCCCCTTTCCCTTCCTTTTACCTGGAAACAACAAACAGGAGCGCCCGTCCAAATATATATATATATATATATATATATATATCGCCCAGCTCAGAAACTCCCCCATTAGTTGGTAAAAAGTTAAAGTCCTAACATCCAAACCACATGCACCAAAGTTATATATATATATATATGTATATCTCGCCCAGCTCAGAAAATTCATGTCCAGCGGCGTCCAGCATGAGGTCGGCGTAACGCGAGAGGTCGAAGACCAAGCTGCCCAGCAAACGCTCCGCCATGAAGCCCTTCCTGAGATCAGACTCCCTGTCTCTCACACGTTGTCAGTTGCCCCTTACTTGGTTGACGTTGGAAGGGGAGCAAAAAATCCAATTTTAGCAGTTAAGTGGTTGGATTCCAACCACTAAACCACAATAAGCAAAAATGTAAAATGCTTCCCAACAACAACCATGCTTAGAGTTGAGTCATAATCCAAACCCCAACTGACAGGCAATTGGCGCCTCCAAGAAGAAACTGATCTTCCAGGTACCCTCCTACAGATGCGCTGGCAAGGTGAGAGGAAGGGTAATCCTATTCTTACATTTGCTAAGTAGGTCGACCTTTGGAAAACATAATGAAAACATAAACACATGTCCAGTGATAGATTCCCTTTAAAGCCAACACGGGAAATCAAAACACATTCTTACGCAAATGGAAGTATTTGCTGTGGTGGGTGGACCTTAAGGGGTGCCTTGCTTCAAAAGGAACTGAACTGGCATTCCATGCCCAGACCACCACACGATTAGAGTTAGGCCCAGTTATAGAATGTATAGTTTATTGTTTGCTTCACTTCGAGACACTGGTACAATGTAACATGTATCCTAAGTGTACCCCAGACCAATTCAGGGGTTCCTGATCTGAAGTGTCCATCCCGCCGAAGGTGCCCTCATCTGGGGTGCGCCGGTTGTGTTTGGATTCTGCCTGCCACTGAAATATAAGATAAGTCTGGAGGAGAGAGGCGTCCACTACAAAGCGGTATTTCATGTTTAGAGGTTGCAGACCTTTTCAAAGATAATTCTTAGCTGTTCCCCCTTCTAGTGACTACACCCCTGAGAGCTTGGAATTTACTGAATACTGCCTAATTCTGGTTTTCTATTGGCAAATTTATAATTTATAAGTACGGGAAAGGACCAAGAGAGTTTGCACTACCAAGGGAAACATAATCTTATAAACAAAAGAGCCCTAAATGGAACTCCAACAATCAAGCAACAGGGGGCTGGGGATGAGTTGCCACTAGGCCAAAAGCTACTTCTTCAGAGAACTTGTTGTTGCATCACATCCTTTGTACGAATGTTACAAACCCTATCTTCCACTCCAAAAGTGGATTGGGGACACAGGGAGCCTCCAACAAGTATGACCGTCAAGGAAATGACGGGCAAGCTCATCCCCCAGATCTTAACTCCTCTGAAGTCAAGGGCAAGTTGAACACTGCCTCCAGGACCCATTCCTGGCTTTCTCTTGCCGAAACCCTTGGGACCCCGAAACTTCTGGTTGCTGAGCTGCCACATCCCTGGGCTGTCCGTTTTCAGATCCCCTGCTGAAAGTGAATAACTTTTAGTGGGCTAATCGGACACCCAACCACCAAGCCAACTGAAAACCTAAAAGATTCTTTGGGAGCACAAGTGTGCAGGCTCCACTTAGATTTTTACACCCCGCATCCCCAGCATCCCCCCCACAATGGTACTGGGAGGCAAAAGTGTGCAAACCAAAATCTCAGGCTCGGATCCATGCAACCTGCTTAGATATCTGAAGTGGCAAACCAAATTTAGCTAGCAGCTCCAAACTACGCCCAGGTGGTATCCCCAACATCCCGGAACTGCCCTGGAACCCTCCAGAGCCAAAGCACCCCAGAGCCTATCTGGGCAGAGCCCCGAAGCTTCCAGCTGTTGGGGAAAAAAAACGGGAAGCAAAGCACTCCAGAGTCATCGGTGTCCTTTTGGGGCAAATAGATGGGTTTCCCTGGTGGATGAGGAAAAACCACCAGGTAAACCAGGGAAACCCATCGGTTTTTCGACCAAAACAACCAGAAAGGACACCTATGCTTCTCAGTTGCCCGTCAGGGATCTGGAAATAAAAGATGATCACCACCTTCTGGGAGGACGAAACATTCTAGGGCTACCTTCCAACCATTCTGATGTTGACCCAGGATTATTAGGGGGGTGTTCCCTCCAAAAGTGGTCTGAATCTCCACTAAAAGGGGACACCAATCAACCAGGGGTTCTACTTAGATCCGGGGTCAACATTAGGTGACACCTACCCCCTAGAAACGTGAGAGAGGCCGGGCGTGAGGCCGGGCGGCATGGAGGGCTGGGTGCGGACAATGGCGAGCATCATCTTGTAGGGGGCATAGATGGTGGCCACCGGCTCGATCAAGAAGGGAATCCTCACGTCAGTCTGCGGAGACTAAAACCTGGTTCTTTGATTCACGGGAAGGCTAAAACCTCCAGGAGGTACATGGAACCAAAGACTAAAACGGCTCAGTTCTGGGCTGTCCGCTTTCAGATCCCCCGCGAAAAGTTTGAATAACTTTTAGTGGGCCAAATGGACATCCAACCACTAAACACCAAAAAGATCCAAAAGGCTAAGGAACCGGATGCCTGGGCCCGAGCCACGAGTTGTCTGCGGCTCAAGCACCGTACATGGGCATCTTGGTACACGGAACCAAAGACAGCCCTGCGAAACACGAGTTCTTCAATTTTGGAACCGCACCCAGTTGCCTCTTAAGGACCCAGAAGAAAAAAACAAAACAATCACCTTGTGGGGGGGGGGCATGACTAAAACTGGGAATCCGAAAATGGAAAACCCAAAGTATTGGCGTGGCTCAAAATCAACCTGGGGTTTCGCAGGTAGGGTTTAGTCTTTGTTTCCATCCACCAAGGAGCCAGAATACGGCCTGTTGCTCACAGGGATTTCTGTAGGTTTGGAGGGGCCCCGGAATTTTCACTTCCTGAGTTGATGGTTCAAAAAAAGCCCAAACTGTTTTTTGCCTGAAATGGTCCAGACCCAACAAGAGACTAAAGACCAGGAACAAAGTGAAAAATGGATCATAACATATTGTAACAACATATGACAACCTAAAGAAGGTAGGCGCAGCGAAAAAAAACAAAAACACCCAAGGGGAGCAACCCAACCCAAGCAAAGGATTTGGGAACCCTCCGAGCGCGGATCGTGTTCAGCCTTTCCAAAAATTCAGTCTGACCTGAAGATCGCTTCACCAACAACTGAGCTTGGGAAGATTTGGGGAGAGTTGCGCAACAAACTCTCCCCCCATCCCCGGGCGGAAAGCACCATTGCGCAAGCAAACACAAGGGGTGCTCCAAAGAGCGAGAGTAGACAAACACGCATGGACATCAAAAGCGCACCTCCCAACTCCAATGTCCCCAAACATGGTCCGGTCAATGCTTGAGAATACGGAGCAACCCAGTCACCGAGTCCACAGTGACAGCCTCAAATGGCACTCTAAATTTTGGGTTAGTGGACACATGTCGCTTGCAAGTAGTTTGAGCAGGCCTGCCTCCTATCATCTACAGAGGGACCAGGTGCATACAGGGGACAAGTAGCCGGCTCCAAAGCGACGCAGGGATGCCATCAGAAAATCCCCGCTTGCGTGGGCAAGCTAGTTTGTTGAGAGCACCGGGGTTGGCTTGATTGGCTCCAACAAACATGATCCGGCAACACTGAAGGCTATTACCATGGTTCTGCATTACCAACCTCTGTTCTCCCTTCCTCTTTCCGCTTTCAATCAGCAAACCCTGAAAAAAAAAACTGGGCTGTCCTCAGCTCCCCTGCCTAAAGCTTAACTTTTAGTGGGTTCAATGGAAATCCCCACTAAACACTAAAAGGCTAAAAAGCTAAGGGTATGGCTGGGAACCACCAAGAAAAAGATAGGGGTTAAAGATACGCTCCACAACGCAACACTCACATCCACTCAGCTGCACCCGCTGTCCCCATGTAGTCCAGAAAGCTGCATTTGACAAAACATGCCAACAGGGAAGGATCAAGAAGGTGGCCGGGAAGGCATAGGCGTAGAGGTTGTTGGCCAGCGTGCGCTGCATGGCATAGGACTCGAAGCGGTCTGAGAAGCTCTGCAGGTTTTCCAGCAAGGTGCCGTCGTAGGTCTTCATGCGCAAGCCCACGTTGATCCTGCTTCGGGTGTGGGTATGGGTCAAAAGTAAACCACCAGGGAACCGCGTCCATTTTGGGTACACATTTTTGACCCACAGCCATGTGTCGCAATAGGCGTCCCCCAAAAAGTGGTGTACATGGGTCCTTTCAGGAGGCAATGGTGTTGCAGCTACCCTCCAGGTGCCTTCTGTTTGTGGGAGGAACCGTGGGTTTTAAAGGAACAGGGAAGCGCAAGTCCTCTGCCCCAGTTGTCGAGCCATTTGCGTCAAAGGGACTCCCTTCAAGGGCCCCCCAAAAGGCAGACTAAAAAACCTCCCCATGCCTTCCTGTTGCTTAAACTGTGGGCAAGATGTTCTTAAAGTGGAGAACCGACAGTGTGGTTTCCTGTTGCTTTCCTGCTGCTTAAACTGTGGCTTAAACTGGGGGCTCTCCAAAGCCGAAAATGATCTGGAAGATTGACCGCCAATCTATAGCGAAGCGAGGATTGCAAGTCAGCCGGCAACAAATCGCTGACTCTGAGCGTGAATATGTGTATACATCCAAAACCACCTGCTTTCCATGGGCCTCCTCCAAATCAGCTGGCTAAGTTTCTATTGAAATTGGCCCAAATGCATCCTCAGAGATCCTGTTAGAATGTGGACGTGTTTTGGCAAGTCCTGTAGGCCACCATGTAAGTGGTGATCAAATCCAGCGCCACGTTGAAGACGCAGGCGAAGCAATACAGGAGCATGTAACACACCTCGTTTGGTCTTGTTCCCATTTTTTTGGCGAGTGAGCCGCACGAAATGCACCGGCATCTCTTGAGGGCATGAAGCGTTGTTTACTGTTGAATTCAATAAACAATCAGCAAATGCTGCAATTTGTCCAAACCTATTTTTTTAAATAAGCAATCCCCATGTAAAAGGATCTTTGCCGTGGTGAGCTCGTTGTACCGCCAGGTGAGCTCGCCATAAATTAGGTTAAGCACATGGAAGTTATGGTAAGAAAGGTCCAAACTCGGGGAAACAACATGGACAGGTCGAGCTTTGGCTTTCTAAAGCGTCAAGAGGTTCCACCTTGGACAGCTGAGCACTTTGGGTAGCGTGAAGGATTCAACGATTGGTCCGTGGGGACAGCGGTTTGGGGGGGGAGGGGGTTGGGCATACCAGGGTTGCTCAAAAGGAACATATAGTCATAGCCTTTCTCCTTTCGGCCACGAAAAGGGTGAAGGCTCCCCAACTGGAAAGGCAAATTTGGATACCCCGAGCTCCGAGTCGAGTCGTGCGCCCTTGCAACCATCAGCTAGCCAAGGTCAGAACATGTACAAACATTGGGCATCCGGTCTAGCTTTGGGAAAGACAAATGCACTGGGCCAAAGTGATATCCTAACCCTTACCCTCCTGATCGTAGTGTGCAAGGCAGAAATTCATGGAAGCCCCAAAACTATTTTTCGCGGAATCTCCTTGTGGGTGACTGCCTTGCTGGGTTCCATGCCAATCCAAGGGGGGGTACTGGACCAAGACCCAACTAAGCAAGGGCCTCGCGATCGTCCACGTAGATGAAGCGCGTGCGATCCGCCACTTCGCTGCAAACCAGGTACATCACGGCGTTGCCAGCGACCACCTTGCGGGTGCTTCCGCGAGCTTTTCTACTCGCCCCTTCTTTGGACTCAAAGCGAGCAGTTGTTAAGGGAACCCCAACGCGAAAGATGGATGTCCCGGACCAGGTTTGTCTCAACATAGGGGGCTCCCCCCCAAAATGGTAGGATTCCTTTTAAGGCTTCCCTTTAAAACCAACCAAAAAGGCCAAGGGGTTCCCCCCCCCAATAAAACACACACACACCAAAAAAAGGGAGGTAGGATTCCCTTTAAGGCTTCCGTTTCACACCAACCAACAAGGGGGTTCCAGCCCCCCCCCCCCCAAAAAAAAAAAACACAATCAACTAGGGTCCAGCCGTAAAAGGTGCCAAGGCAGGTCATGCCACCACCATGGAGAAGGTCATGCCGGCCACGAAGCCGGGCTCCTGGCGCCGAAAAGGGGTGACGTGCTTAAAGCGCTCCACGCCTAAACGCTAAATACGCGTGCCGCACCGGGGTCGCCCGCCGAATCCATGCGGTCCTGGCCATAGGAATAGTTGAAGGTCAGCGTGAACCAGGCCTTGGTTGGGCTCAGATTTTTTCTGCCAAAGGCCGGGCTAACAATGTTATTCCGGCCGCAAAGAGAAATTCAGGTTACACACTCCTGAAAACCAAGAGGTTAACCACAATTGTCCAAAACGGTTAGTCAAAAGGTTAATCAAAGAGGTTATACCCCGAAAACCATCCCTGAAGGCTGAAATTCGGTGCATGTCCATTTCGTTGCCAAGGCTCAGGCCTTCAGTTGCCATGCGGAACCACGCACACTTGTCTTTGGTCTGTAGGTGAACATCTGGGACCCTCCCCCCCCAAAACAAAAACTAAAACACAAGAAGCGACCCATGGGAGGTCGAATTCCAACACTTGCTCCTTCCGAAAGAAATGGGAACTCGTTCACTTGTTGTGGGTCCAATGGGAAAATCTCCCCCAAAGCTTCAAGATCTCAATAGTGCCCCTGCGTTCAAGCCGAAGCCCAGGAGAAGCTTCGGAAGGTTCATGGTCTCACCACTAAAAAGTAAAAATAACAACGAGAAAAACAACAAAAATAAAAATATGAAAAAGCACAACGAGAAAAACTGAAAACAGAACAACGAGAAAACTTTGGGTGGCTTCCCCTCCTCACAAAACTGAAAAACATGAAGCAACCAACACGGGAGGTCTATTTTCAAGGGAAACCCCTCCCGGAAAGAAATGGGAAAACTCGGTGCACCGGTGCACGAATAACTTCCGAGAGGCGTAGGGCAGGTAGAAGACCACCACCCAAAGGCTCAAGCCCGCCAGCATGATCCCGAAGCCCAAGGCCACGCGCTTGGCCTTCACCATGAGGTCCGTGTTGGCGCAGTTCCTGGGCGAGGCCACCCTGCGCTCCTCCTAACCTTCCATTTGGTTAAGACCCTGGAAAAAACAAATATGTCCAGTAGTGATAAATTCCTTTTAAAACCAACAAGGGAAAATGACAAATATTCTTAAGCAAATGGCGCTCCGGCAACATGTCCCTAACGTTAGCTAGGTCCAAACCAATAGAGGGGTTAGAATAAGGGTACCAACTTTTGTTTCTGTAGTCTATTTTAGTAGGGGGGATTCCTCCCAACCAAAAAGAGGTGAGGAAGGGCACCTAGCTGAGGGACCTGGTTAGGGACTTCAATCGCTAGCTCCGGTAGAGATGAGTTGCAAACTCTTGGCCGGCCTTGACAGACATGTGACGCGGGTTCACAGCTCAGGCAAGCCCATCGCTACAAAAAGGAAACCCCCCCAACCAGCCTGAGAGACTGGACGTCAAATGGGCGTCTGCCCCGTAAACTTGGCTGCTGACCTTTTCTGCAACATGTTCAACTGTTTTACTTTTTGTGGGTCCCATGGACAATTCACTGCTTCTCAAAAAATTGAAGTCCGAAGATCCGTTTCCAAATAGCCATACATAAGTTAAATCAACATGAATCCCAAAACTGGGTCCCAAACAAAGACGATTCCTCTCCAAGAACCTTTTGAGCATACCCCAACCCTGATGAAGATTTTCTTTCATTGGGGGTCCGGGGTATGCTCAAAAGGTATGGAGGTGCTTTCGTTGGGTTCCATGCTCATCTGTGGAGGTGGCCAAGCTCTGCCAACAGAACTTTCAGATGATTCAGCATGTAGGCATGCAAGCAAGCGCGTAACCAGGGACACTCAGACATCCAAGGCGTGTTCCCAAGGCCAGTGATTAGCGGTCCTTTTCAAAATGGTTTTCCGAGCAAACCAGAGGCATTCCCGGCAATTGCTCGGTATCCCATGCTTGACCTATGAGTTCTAAGTGGGTTTCCTTGGTACAAAAAATGCATGATCATGCGATCGGAACCTACTGGTTTGTTAGAACCCGTGTTTCCCGGTCTGGTCATGACAGTAGCAACGCTAGTCGAACTCGCTAATCTCTCAGGGAAGTGCCTCGCTCGCCACAGGATCACTCAAAATTTGCCTAGGGCATGAGGCTAACCTTTACAGCCAAGCGCAAACTGGTTGAAGCCAAAACCACAGCTTCTGCCCCAACCATAGGTTGTCTTCTTGTCCATCTTTGGCAACACTAAACATGCAAAAGCTTGAAAATAGATCTCAGGGCAAAACACACACACACACACACATTTCAATCAAGACCCCAAAAAAAAACCAAAGGTGGATCCGCAGAGCTGACCTCTACCAGCGCAGGGAACAGGTGTCCCCTCCTCGATACAACATGCGGCTTTGCATTCACGAAGAAAAGGGAGAAGGGTGCTTTATTTGCACCCGCCCCTTCCATACAATACTTTGAGTGTTTGTGTCTGCCAACATCGTCCAAAGGTGGGACTCGATGTGGGACTGGTCAGCAAATGGACCTCCACTCATGTTCGAGAGAAAAATAACGCCCTTCCGCACCAAAAGATGGACCATGACGGCTTTGTTGATTTCATGTTACGTTTCGGGGCGTATTCCCCACTAAGACTCTTGGTGAGCTCGTTTTACTTCCGAGTGAGCTCGCCATAGCAAGGACCTTTCGACAAGCCAAGCTTCTGCCAGTTCACCGTCTGCGGCTCCACACGCGAGGCATTCCTGGGCACTGATGTGAGAGTGAATAAATTTGGAGCTACTCCCCTGCAAAATGCACGCATGGAACCCAAAGTGGGCGGGGGATCCCCAAAGGAGTTGTCCTCTGGAGATGATGGCTTTGGGCCAAAGGCTCCAGGTTCAGCAGGGGAGTAGGTGGATGCCAAAACGCTGCAGCTTGTCGCAATCTAATCGATGCGCTGGGTTGCAAGGATTATGTTTGTCAGTTCCTAATTGTTCTTGCTGTGGCGCCGTGCGAGCTTTTGTTGAGCTCGGAAACCCTCTGCTGAGACTGCGCCCTACCCCTTGCAGGCAAGCAGGGCGCACGTTTAGGGACCGACATGGTGCCAGTTGAGACATTGTTCTGATCACGCACTTTAGTTCAGTCAGTGAAATCCAAAACGTATCTTGACTTCTGCTGCTCTTTTCTTACCAACATCAGGAGGCCGGCCTGATCTCGTACTCAAATAGGCGAGGTGAAAGCAAGCTCTGGTCAAAGGGTTCTGAGCCCCTCAAGCGCAAGCCCCCCGATCAAGCAACCAATCTGGGGCAACCGTCCCCGGGGAAAAAATATATGTCCAGCAGTGACTGAGTGATAGATTCCCTTCAAAACCGGTGGGAGATCACCAACATATTCTCAAAGCAAATGGAAGTTTGTTGTTTTTTTTAGACCGAGTTTAGTGACCAAAGCCTCGCCTGCCCCCAAGAAGGTTCCCGGAACCTTCTTGAGCTCATGGACTTCCATTTGGTTAAGACCCCTGGCAAAAAAAATCCAGTAGTGATAGATTCCCTTTCAAACCAACAGGGGGAAATACACAAAATATTCATTTCAGCAAATGGAAGTAGAAAGGTTCATAGAAAGAACCTGTCTCGGAACCTGAAGCTGGGCCCCCCTAAATTCTCTAGGTCTTCCAGTAGAGATCTTAGAATAAGGGTACCAACTTTTCTCTGTAGTCTATTTTAGTAGGGGAACCCTCCCAACCAAAAAAGGGGTTGAAGAGGGCACCTAGCTGGGGGACCTAGTGGAAAAGGCATTTGAAGTCGGAACCCACTGCACCACGGGCAAATCCATCCCGGGAAGCCATCCCAAAAGTTTGCGAGCTTGGGAGTGCTTCGAGCGTCAGCTGCAGCGTCTTGCCCCCGTACTCCACGCCGCCAGCGGCACATGCCGCCTCCACCGCCATGTCGCGGGCAGCCTCTGTCTCGAAAATGGCGTAGGCGTCAGGGCAGGTCTTGATGCTCCTTAGTCAAGCGCCGACTACTCCCCCTCAGAGTAACATGGAAGCTCTGAGAAGCTTGAGGGGGGGGAAAAAAAAACGGGTATCAAAAGAATATGACTACCCAGGTTGGGCACCGCAAACCCATGTGATATCAGTGCCAGAAATCATGACGTGTAGGGTTCCGGTTGCAGGCTTGGAATGCGAATTTTAACCCCAATGTTTCTCTCATATCTTGTTGCACTGCGCATGTTCAGCATCCCGCCTTGCAAAATTGAGGGCATTCACTGGACTTGGTCCTTTGGCCGGTCGCACGTCGCGGACACCGCGCCCCACAGAGACAGCGATGGATCAACCAATCAAACTAAACCGCAGACATCTGCAATCCCTACAGCAGCAATCTGCATTAACAGGGTCTCTTGAAGGACGCAGTGGGGACAGTTGAAAACTGCCATTTGCTTTTTCGCCTTCTGGGAGAAAAAAAACAGTTTCCAGTAGTGATGGATCTTTTCAGCAAATGGAAGGAAACGTAAAACAAATCATCTCGGTGGACTTGGAGGATTTGCTTGTACAGCAGGTGTCTGTTAAGGAACCATGCCTAAGCTGTCCCAAGATCTCCAGATCGAGCTGATCTTACCCCCAAAGCTCCCCGTAAACTTTGAGATCTCGCAAAAGACGTCGGAGGCTGCCTCAAGGGCCGAGCTCGCTAAATGAGTGAGCGAATCTGGAAAAAACAACGCTGCGGCCTGTACCGCGCAAAACGAAAGAAGACAAGAGCCCAACTGCAATCGGACCTTGTCGAGCCGATGGGTCCGGAATCACTTCGATCACTCCGGAATGAAAGCACTCGGCCAGGGCGCTTGAGGATGCCCACCACATCCACCTCAGGAACCGCAGTTTCACTCATATCCGCTTTTTGGGCAGGTTGCGGAGACCGACGGGAGGTAACAAACCTGATTGAAATGAATCCACGGTTTCCGCGGATGTCCAACGCCCGGACAACTTGCGATCCCTATTCAAAGGATCTACATCAGTTTTTCGCCGCAGCTCGCCCAATATTTCTCTAGCAGAAATGCATGAAGCTTGGTGTCCAGTTCAAGCCAACCGACCAAAACATGGCTTCCAAGAAAAGGATTCCAACCAAACTTGGGTGCTGTAGATCCCCGAGCAAAAAGTTAAACTTTTTGCTGGCTGAAAGGAAATATCAGGGGAATCCAAAATATTAAACTTCAAAAGATCCCTTACCCAATAGCAGAAGAGCAAACAAACACATTTTCCAACCAAATAGCCATGGCCCATTGGCCCATCCAAGCGGCCTCCTTGCACTCTTCAATGGTCTCCTCCTCCGGGTTGCCTGTCCCCCTCTCCACACGCGCCTGGCAGCGGCCAAGCTGGGCCGTCACCCCTCACACGAATTCCTCGTTTTGTTTTTTCTCCAAAAAATCCGAGGGCAAATGCTAGGTCCAAGCCAGTTGTACAAAGGCTGAAATCGGAGGCATCATGCACAAACAGGGCTGGAAGTCTCACTCAAGATCTTCCAGTGAGTTTCCCGGTGAAAAGAAGCAAGGGATTTGCAACTAGGTCCAAACCAGTCGAGAGCTTAGAATAAGTTGGTACCAACTGCTTTTCGGTTTTGTCTATTTTAGTCAGGGGGTTCCTCCCTCACTCATGAAAGGGTGAGAAAGGGCACCACTGGACCTAGAATGCTTATGGCAAGCCAGGTGTGCCGAAATCAGAAGCATCATACAAAAACAGGGCCGAGAGTGTCATTCAGAACCTTTCCCAAAAGCAAAGGATCTGAACTTAAAGGCGAGCTGCCAGAAATACTTGCCAACGTCGCTGGCCAAGTGGCATTCAAATCTGGAATAAGCTTGCTAACACGGATAATATGGCCCAGTCAAAGTTTAAAATGGGGGGATTGTGATCCCTGTGACAAGGGAGGCTCAGAACCAACAAGATTGCATGGGGAATCCAATGACAAAGAAATCGACTGCCTGTGCTAAGACTTGAGTCCGAAGAGGCGCTTCTCACCTGCTCTGGGCAAATCAGCAGCAATGATTCACCAACCAAAACGCAAACAGTTGGGGCAAAACAAGAACCTTGGCTTTGTGGAATCCGTCTTTCAACGCCCCTAGACTAGTGGCACCGCTATAACCTCCGTTTATTCAAGTCCCCGTAGAAATGAGAACGTACTTCCAGTAGTGATGCATTCCCTTTAAAACCATCGGGGAACAAACCGTAATAAACATCTCAACTTCAGCAAGGGATGCACTCTTTCCGACCATCGGAGCAATGTGCAAGCAGACCTCGGTCCTCAGATCCGCTCAAAGTGAATAACTCGTGGGACACCCAACCACTCAACCAACTAAGCACAAAAGCTTCCTAACGCTGAACCGGATGGCTGGGATTGCCGCCAAGGAAGGAACCAAGCCTCCATTTGCTGAAGATATCCTGCTTTGTAAGTATATATATAATTATATGTATACATACAAACATTACATACATATATATCCGCCGACATTGC